CTAGTTATTCCAAACAGACTTAATGAGTTTATGGATCTCAGACCGTAATGTTTCACCACCTGCTTGAATCAGTTTGCCGAATTTTGATATCCCCTTACTCTATGAATGATATTGTTACGTGTGACTACATACGGGGTTTGGATTGGTAAATGGATCACTTACACTCACCGCTCGTGACTACACTTTACAGATCACTAACACACACACACATTTGTGTCCTCGGTCGATTAGAGCCTCCACTTGCCGACTGCTGGCAACGGATTTTAACACAGGAACTATAAGTCTCACTGAATTACACACTGCAAGTATTATACATAAAGCCTTCTCTTCACAGCCGGACTTTCAACTGAGCACTCTTGCAACCAACTATTTCCTTCACAGCCTCCCTTACAGAACTGCCTAAATGTAACTTTGTCCCTTGATTATAACATCCTTGATTATAACACGGACATTATAGTAAACACAGCTGTTCTGTTGTCGTCTGGACTCGTTTCCGCAAGAATGTTTACCCTGCCGTTAAGTAGCAACGGCCGCGGATCACAGAAAAAACCCGTTCCTCTGTTGCTGTACCATTGTTGCATCTGTGTCCGTTGTTGCGGGAACGTGTTTACTGAGCCGATGCCTAGAAACGGCCCTGGTATACTCGCTTATCTCGCGGTCTTTGCATAGTAACGGCTCTACACGCTACAATATGTAGGCTTTGCAATCAGGCGGCCGGATGGGCGGCTACTTGGTATGGATCAAGAGAAGACCTGATTACTAAACAAACACTTGGGAAACATGGTCTGATCCTAGACATCTTATCCCACCACGTCAAAAGATAATATACAGCCACACGGCTACGCTACACCCAGGGAGAAAGAGCCGGCCTGCTATTGTTCAGAGGCAAAGAATCAAACAAACGCAACGAATAACAACGGAGAACAAAACAAGTACGAGCGGCGACAGACATAAAGTGTCTGTACAATCCGTCTCTTGTTTGCCTGGACGTTCATTTTGTTTCAAACGGCTTCTGCTTTACCAGTATACTCTGACTTTCCTTTACTCCTAAGGTAAGGTAATGTTGTACCTGTGCTCAACGAATTAAGCACTATGTCATGAAGGCGTTTGGGGGGAATGGATGTATAGATCCACATTTTCTTCGCCTCGGCACTAGGCACTAGGCGCTAGCTGGAGGTGAGTGGTCAGCTTCACGCCCCTGTCGCTTTACCCCCGTAGAAAGAGCCCCTAGTACCCATTGGATAGGAAGTTGGGTAGACCCCAGAGCCGGTCTGGACGATCTGGAGAAGAGAAAATTCTTGGCCCTACTGAGACTCGAACATAGACACCTTCCGTTGTCCAGCCCGTAGCCAGTCGCTGTACCGACTGCGCTACCCTGGCTCCTTAAGTGCAACACAAAACAGGCTCAGAAACAGACCAACATAACCCTCATGCATGTCGCTTACTGGAGACTTTTACGGCTTTAGTATGGAAGTGAATCTCCTGACACAAGGTGAGCGTGGACGAAGTAGGAGAAAAGTTCCGCCGTATGGTCGAGTTTTGTGTGCACAATATTCCAGCCCATAGAGGAGTAGTATTCCTGACCAGCTGGGTAACCATCAACGTTCCAAGGCAAGCCCTACACAAAGGACTTCGCAAAAACATCGAGAAAATTCATGTAAAATAGAAGTGTTGCCGGATACTGACCACGGAACATCAGCTTAATAATAAAATCGAACTGTTAGCACGTCTTTAACTCTCAGTCGGCACACAGCCTGTTCGTTGTATTCCATGAATGCAGATCAGTCCCTTCAGGCAGATGTCGGGCCAGTAAAAGTTGCCAAGACCGTGTGCATACGCAACCTCCCGACGGCATTCGTAATCATCCAAAAGTAATTCGTTCGGTGCAACAGCCGATACAGCATCGCCAAATAACCAATTAAGAAAGCAATGAACAATTTTTAAATATTCGCCCTTTTGAATGTTTTAAATTTTACGATAATATGCACTAATTGGTTTTCTGGTTTGAAAACTTGCTCATGGGCACAAATGTGACCATGCTCGAGTCTCTGTTCGAGGTTCAAAACATGAAAAAGATGATCATATGAACGTCTATAGCGGCTGCCTCTGCAGAATACGGAGAGGAAGCTGCATGCGGGGCCATGTCCGCTGAGGAGGGCCGAGTTATGAACGTCTGAAGACAGAATTGTATAGTCAGAGCGCTGCTGTGCAGGACTGGGAAGGAGTTTCATTTCTCGGTACAGTGACATTTAATTGTGATTCGCTCTTGACACACAACTTCATTCAAACCCTGCATATTGAAGAGATATCCGTCAGCAGGTCTAATACTGAACTCCCCAAAAGAAGTACTCACTTTCCAGGGTTGTTAAAAAAAAACTTCGCTCAAGCAGTAACACTGCTCATTCATGTCGCCAATCTTACGAATTTCCCTTGCGTACTCTCTACTACTTACCGCCATTGCACAGAATGGTGATCGCTTTATGCATTATGCAGCTGCCAAGCAACAAAACAGCTGTAAGATCCGCCCCCCTTTATCTACCCCTTCATTACGTTTAACGTTTATACCAATGAACTAGAATCTTCATCAATGTTATTTCCTACTGTGAGAAATGCATTCATTAACATGACGAGCCCCATCAACTTGTCATGCCACTGTCTACACTCTGTTATTATAGCAACTGTGAAATAAATATTGTTCGAGAGAATGAGAATTGGATAAGAGAGAGAGAGAGACAGAGAGAGGGGTCGGTACTTCGATATTTTTCTGAAAACCAGGGCAATGCATGGGAGGTCCCAATTTAGAACACTACTCACGTATGCAAGCACGCACGCACGCATGTACACCTCGAATGCAAGCTTAGCACGCGAGTTCACACCATAATTCAACAGTGCAACAAAAGCAAGTAGACAGATTGAATGATACGTGGCTACGTTCACTTTCATTTCTCCACACATAACTTAAAAGAGAGATGGGAGGGGGAAGAGTGGTAAAGAGAGGGGAAGGGAAGCTCAGAGATTAATATGGTGGTGCAGGATTAGAGTAATCCACAAGGGATACGGAACTCAATGACAGTAATGAACCGCGGACTATCAGCGGCCATGGAGCAGATCTCCGCACGTTTTATTACGTATATATTTATACTGCAATGGGGGTGCCACCCGGCTACAGGATGCCACTTTCACGCCACCGAAGCATGGACTATCGAGAGAACTGATAGAGAAATCCACCTGTATACAATTCTGAAAATCTACGCCCAATTTCACCGTTTCTGACCATGAATACGGCCCGGAACTATGACACTAGTTGTTTCACCTTCTTCTGCTAACATTTCTGGCAAATGTCAGATACTAAAAATGTTTTCATTTTGGTATAATAATATGAATGTACACCAGAGTGTCTGAGGTCGTCGTTGGAAAGAATTTCGCATTGTGGACATTTGTGCATCTAATTAATCCTTCCCCCATCACGCACAAGCTTTCCTGCTACAGCGCACTACACTTACGACACAGTAAAAGGTAAAAAAGTAAAGCTATTGCTGTAACAGGCCGTGAAGGCCCATACGGTCGAGAAACGTCGAGGCTCCCACATTTTCTCCAGATAATCTCTAGCTCCGCTGCATCTGTCTGCATTGTTCTTCGGTCACCACAGCAGAGGAAGCAAGCGCACGGTGTTCAGACTTACACTACAGGTTGCTTGGTTGCTTTACACCCACGCTTAGTTTACGATGTAGGTGAATGAAGAAATAATGCAGAAAGCAACATAATCACACAACAAAAGCGTTTGTATCAATAAAACGGTGTTACCTTTCGACACTTCTGTATAATATGTCTAATGCCTACATCCGACTACTTTGTGAACTTCAGAGAACTGAGCTTCAACAGCTTGTTTTAACTTGCAGAGAAAGAGTTAATTAGTAGCTACTCTGAGAACATACTATTTCGTGTTATACACACACACAGTATATGACTCAGTTCGGAAGAAAATTAAGACAAATATTTATGATACATGAAAATGTGACGAGCAGGTTGGGGGGGGGGATCTTGCTNTCTTGCTGACGACGTTGCTACGTCCTTCGTTTTATGGAAATCCAAATATTCGTTATTGCCGATCACGGTGGCCGCTCGGTCTAAGGCATGGATCGTCTTCGCCCGCTTAAACACTGTGGTGGTGGGTTCGAATCCCACTGGAAGCATGTATATTTGTGTGCGTTTATTCTGTGTGTAGGTAGAGGCCTTGCGATGGGCTGATTCCCCGCCCAAGGAGCCCTACCGACTGCGTATAGGATTAAGAAACTGAAAACGGAGCCAAGGCCCAACCAAGGGCTGTAGAGGCATAATAATAAGCGTTACTTATTGCTGCAGAAATGCACTGCCTTCTCTGCAAAGGGAGACGGGCCTATAACAGACATTCAGGATATGGCTGTTCACACTACACTTGTGTGGGTTACACCCCCAAATTCTACAGTTCTGCCTATTTACAGTCTTTGACATACACCATTTTCCTTCGTTGCAAAAATATCTTTATTCGGTCAGTTATATTTTCCGTCTATTGACGCGGATAATTGAAGGTGAGATATGATGTAACATGTGAGGCTTAGATATCACACAATGAACACAAAAACTTAATTAGTTGGCAATTACTTTCAAATTTATTTGTCGGCTAAAATTTGCTTTGTTCTCTTTAACTTATCGAAGTCAACTGGCACTTCATCAACAGAACCCCTTTATGGGAACGATGTACAATAAATATTTCATACAAAGTACATTTTTAAGAACAGGAGTACCAGAATGATTTGAGATTCTCACAGCGGTGCTTATGACGAGTTCTACATTCTGGGATATATCGCCGTGTAGTCAGCTCGTTGAAAGTAAACCGATGTTTCGGATGAAAACAGAACTCTTCATGGGCTAGACGATTAAAATAAATGGCGTATCACATCGCAAAAACCCCAACAGGAAGACAAGTTACCCTAAAGTGGAGTTAGTTATATTTCTCTTACCTTTTCTCCAAAGAACACCACCCGCAGTAAGGGTCCTTGGCTTCCAGGCACGCGGAGCAATTGGTGTAACTCGTGCAGTGCTCCACTTTCACTTTCGAGATCTAAGCAGGAGAAAATGAACACAAATCAGTTTCTGCTTTCCAGATGCAAGGTCAAAGCAAGGAGGATGGCACATTTCAAGGTCAGTATGATGGTTTCAGCAGCTGCGGTGAGGTAGGCTACAAAATATTTGCTTCTATGATCCAGTGGTCAGCTGAACTGCCGTGTGGGTGGAATAACTACAACACATTGCATTCAAAACTGCCCATCTTTAAGAAAAGAAATGCTGGAAAGGTGCAATAAGAAAACAAACAGATGTTGTATCGTGGGATTTGTTGGAATTAGAAATAGTGGAAACTGTATGGCTTCTATTGTTAAGTTCTGTGCAAGGAAGAACAGAGTCTCCTTTTCGTAGCCCATGATTATGGACTAATAAAGATGATCTACACTTCGTTTACTTGAATACAAAGTAACGCACTAAGAAATAAGAAGCACAGTAGGCGGACACCCCCGTTTGGGATTACTGATGGCTGCAACCTTTGTCGCGTGCAGGTTGCATTTCAGTCATATGATGAAAGATTAGTTGCATTCCGTCTCACAAGAGGCTCGCTTACTGTTACTATAAACTGGCATGCGCTCCTTATATACGTATATGGATTAACTGTCCATGTCACAGGCTGTGAAAGTTAAAATAAGAAAATCTTTCTTACACCTCTCAGAGCCATTCAGGTAAGGTAAATTTCATCCTGCGCCTAATGAATTAAGCACAACGCCACGAAGACGTATGAGGGGGTGGTGATAGGGCACCATCATTCTTCACCTCGGCACTAGATGCAGGTGAGCGGTCAGATTCACGCCCGGGGAGACAGACCCCGGTACCCACTGAAGAGGAAGCTGGGTGGGCCCCAAAGCTCGTATACACACTGCGAAGAAAAGTCTCTTGCCCCTAACGGAAATCGAAACCCGGCTGTCCAACCCGTAGCCCGTCACTATGCCGACTAAGCTCACTGCTCATAATATTCTCTCAAGTGACGAAGGTATCCCCGCACTTGAACGAACCCAAGGGTTCATTAATGCGTTCAACAGAGTCCGTCACATATCCTCGCATACACCATCAATTTCCAGACACATGGCACCTTGTAACGCGGGTTGGCCCTCCTGCGATAACGAAGTCTATACGTGTTGAGTTCTGTTCCTCGCTGGCCGCTCTAAGCAAACCCGCTTACCGTCTTCGCGTACCTGCAAGCCTATGCAAAAACACACGACTCGGTCAGATCGAAGCAACTAATTAACGGGAGAAATAAATCTCACGTTACAATTACTGCCAGTTTATGTAGATTTTAATTAGTAACAGTAACACCAAAATGTGAGACTGGTGAGAGGAAAATAGTTTGCACATTAATAGTTACAGAGCAAAGGAAATTACAAATAATCCACAGATAATTTTAGCATGTTCTTTTTCCTTTCTTCTTACAAAAGCACGGACATTAAAGATCTGAACCCAATCGAAATAACTGAGCGTTCGTGTAAAGATCAATAAAAATTCTAGTTATTATATCAGACTACAAGACGCTTGCATATAATAATAATATTACGTCATGAGAATATAATAGTGTGTCCACCTCCTTTGTATAGACAACATGATCGATTTAGTCCTACTCGGTTAGACTACGTCTGCGTCATCACCTGATTGTGACGTTTCACGCTACGCTGTCATTAAATGGAACCAACATATTATGACAAGGCGCCAGATAGCCGGAGTAGCAAAATCAGAGGAGACGTCCACTTCTAGGCAACTGCTCGATAAACACATTCCCGCGGAAGCGGACGCTAGAAACAATAGAATAGCCCACTTCTAAGCAACGGATCGATAAACACACAACGTGTGTACTGTTGGAAAGTGTCTTCTGTTCGGTCCGTGCAAAGTGGTTACAATGAAGAGTTCAGCTGAGAATCGGTAGTCGAGTTCCGGAGTTCCAAGTGACCAGTAAGTCGAGATTTGAGCTGAGTTCCGGAGCTGGCTGTTGCAGCAGAGAATTGCGGGAGTCTCCGGAGTTCGCAGTTGCAGCAGAGAATTGCGGGAGTCTCCGGAGTTCGCAGTTGCAGCAGAGAATTGCGGGAGTCTCCGAGTTCCCAGTTGCAGCAGAGAATTGCAGGAGTCTCCGGAGTTCGCAGTTGCAGCAGAGAATTGCGGGAGTCTCCGAGTTCCCAGTTGCAGCAGAGAATTGCAGGAGTCTCCGGAGTTCGCAGAATAGTGGCAAGGAAGGAATCAGGCTGTGCAAAGAAGACTGATTTGAAGTGACAGACTGTTATGAATCCGTTGCCACGGTACGACTAGTGAAAACCGAGGACACTAGTGTGTGTAACAGTGAACTGTGAACTGTACAAAACTAGCGAGAGGGCTGTAATTGTTTGTAATTTTGAGTGAGTGTATAAGGTGTCAAGAAATCCAATCCAGAACCCGTCTAACAGTCACGCACATCCCCCTACAAGTGACAATATGATGCGAACCAAATTCACCATACGAAGATCTCGTTAAACACGAACGAATTTCCTTACAAAGGTTGCCTTCTTAACGATAAATGATATAACCTCCGTCTCAAGTGCAAACAATATATTCTTGTGTCTTTGATCTTGCTCCCTACACTACATGTTTCGGCCTCAGACGGCCATCATCAGGTGTATAACACTCACGTCGCTGTCACACTGCACCCAGTTCAAAATTTAACATCTAAAACACTCTCCCTGTCATTATCAACTTCTACTTCGTTGATAGCTGTCCACCCGTAGATTACTTCACACACGTTAATTTTGAGTTTATTGTAATAGCACCATAATAAAATCTTTAGTTCTAATTTTAAACTTTTAAATTCTTGTCCAAATTTTAAAAATTCTTGTCCAAATTTTAAATTTTAAAATTGCTAGGGTTATTCGCCCTGTGTTTGAAGTGCTGCAGCGGCTAGTTCTTGTTTCCACACTGTATAGGTGTTATCCTGTGTGGTCTTTCTGTGTGCGTGCCGCTGCTAGTCTTTACTACGTGTGCTACGTACTNACCCGTCTAACAGTCATGCACATCCCCCTACAAGTGACAATATGATGCGAACCAAATTCACCATACGAAGATCTCGTTAAACACGAACGAATTTCCTTACATAGGTTGCCTTCTTAAGATATAACGTACGATCGGAGATGTTTTAGACAGACTATAAGTGCAGTATATTTATACACTTTGCAGAAATTTAGGTACATACCGTAATACGTGTATACATAAAGCAGTATTAGTTTATGGTTACAAAATGTAATATACACAAGGCTTGCCTCGGCTGGTTATTGGGTTACGCTACAGAATTTGCCAAAACAGGCAAATCGTTTCCACAGTAAGGAACATGAAAATGAAACGAGTTACATCCCTTCCTCTACAAATGGGAATACGACTCAGAATGAAATTCAACACTGCCTTCTGGGATGTGACGCCATGTTCATCTTGTGTGAAGCGACGTTTAGAATGAACTTATCGCCTCCATTTTCAGGGTATAAAAATCAGCGAGCGAGGAACCAGTGTGAGCACGTGGCTACAGGCTGAGCTGAAGACGTTCCAAATTATGCAATTTTTCTACATCCTCACATCCGAATATTTTTTCAAGGAATCTGTTCTTAAATATCCTCAGCTTAGTTCTTCCTTCAGAGCGAGATCAATATCACAACATATGGGTAAGCTTATAGTTCGCCGATCAGACTGGCCGCGCGGTATAAGGGGGCCCATACACGTAAGAGTCTGGCTCGTGAGTCCCAGTGGGCTCGGGTTCCAATGAACCAAACTCATCCGTGTGTGGGTCGCCACGCTCATACGTGTGCGGTGAAATTAATCCGAGGCCGGCTCCTCGCCGAGCCAGACTCGTACGTGTATGAGCCGTCTATGGCATGAACTGTCTTCGCTCGCTCGAACGCCCTAATAGTGTGTTCCAATCCCACTCAAAGCGTGGATGTCTGTGTGTATGCGTTTTGTGTTTGTGTTTGTGTTCTGTGTGTAGGCAGGCGACTTGCGACGGTCTGATCACTCGTCCAAGCAATCCTACCGTCTGTGTAAAAAAAATTAAGAAATGAAGAGGCCAGGGCCCAACAAAGGGCTGTACAGCCTCTGAAGAATGAATACAACTTAAAATTTTGGCATATTTCGGTCTTATTTCTTAGATAATATCGTTAACAGCTTTAACAGTGTGAGAATCAAACCGCTTTTTTTTTAAATCGTTCACATAAATATCAAGATAACACCTTAACCGTGAATGAACTTAAGCAATTAAGAACTGATCTCAGAGGTTCATGTACTGAGGAGGAGGAAGAGGAGAGGGGGGTGTACGTATGTTGCTTTCAGTCGGTAACGTGAGAGCAATGAACACTCGAGTCGATAGTTCGCTCACAGAGCGGGACAGCAGCAAGTGAGCAACAGAAACTATGAAAGGCTACGTCAGACACGATCTGCTCCGCCGTCAATGCATACTCGCCCACTCTGTATTTGCAACTGGTGGACAATGCATGGCCACACGCTGTTTACTCCTGATATAAATTTTAACAATTAAGCCAGCTGTGAATCAATGAATTCGCAGTGGCGGTGGAAGAGAAGTACTAATCATATAGACTTATTTACAAAACACCCAATTATTATTTCACAAAGTATTGCATTGAATTCCATGCCACACTGTTTATATAGAGGCAATTTAAAACATACAATCGAAATACAAAAATAAGAGCCACTAATTTAACTCAACTGGATTAAACTAGAATACAAAACCGGACGAGTTTTCAAAGAGCTACTAAAAACACACTTCACAGAAAACAGTCACGTGTATTGGTGACTACAGACGGGGTTTGCATTGGTGAATAGATTTAGTGACCACTTACAGGTCGTAACTGCAATTAACTCTAACACTACTGCTGATTTCCACACTACAAATCACTCCGCACTAAGCCTTCTCAGTCTACATTCACTAGTCTTTACTGGGTAACAGCTCTCGACAATGGCTATTTCTCTGCAATATTTTCACTAGACTTTTCCTGGTAACGA